GTTATTTCAAGGATAAGTTCTCTTGATTTTGCCTAGGGCCACCCTGACAGCCTCAGACTGCAGTCCTCCTGAGTAGCTATGATTACAGACATGTACCACTATGCTTGGCCAAAAATATACTTTAAATCCAAATTACTTAAGATAATGCATGAATAACACTTTACAGAGTACCTTTGCTTTCCCTTCAGAGACTATATGAAAATGAACACTTTAGTCAAGGAAAACCATACACTAATAAGTGTTTGCACTTGTGAGCACATGTGAACATTTCCTTGTTCCTCAGTGAAAACAGTCTAGACTGCCTGGCAAAGTTCCTTGTAGTGTTTTCTTGACCTATATCAGTGAAGCCTTGCCCAGCCATGAAATGAACCAGGACTTGGGGACTGGATGCCTCTGAGTATGAAGAATGGATCTTCCACTTCAAAGTTCTCTGACTGCAGACAAGCCCCCTTGCTGCGTAGCACCTTCTGAAGTGTGCTGAGTAGAACGTTAGCACAGTTCCTGCACAACTACGTAGTGGCTTAACAAAGGGGTCCTGGGTTCAGATTCCAGTTTTGCCTCTCAGAAGCTGGCTGATCTTAGGCAAGCTCCTTAACCTCCCTGTGTTTCATTTTCTCATCCACACAGAAGAGTTGAACATAGCAACTGGCTTCATAAGGTTATCAAGAGACTCGGACACAGGCACAAGCTCTGCTGGCTCTTGTTGGAGTGGGGTAATGTTAGTTGTGTTAAACTGCTGTAGACACCTATTGGGTCTGAGGTAAGGACTGTTGCAAATGATTCCTGTGCTGGAGCCCTCTGACTCGAGCAGCTGTGAGCTCTTCCTGCTAGGGTTGCACTCTTTGCTCTTTTCCTGGTGGCAAAAGACCTCTCAGTGCTTCACCATCCCAGGGAAGCAGGGCTACTTCAGGCCCAGAACTCACCTCCTTCCCTTACAGTCACAGCAGCATTGGCCAGTGGGCCAAAGCTCCCCATTTGAGAGTCCTACCAGCCTCCTCTCCACACTGCATCATACTGCCCCACATCATCCCTGTGTCTGTGTGGTAGACACCAGCCGCCTAACTCATCTCTCTCCAAAAAACTAGCCTCTTCCAACAAGAAGACCTTTGGACCACAGATACAGCTCAAGTGGTAGAGTGCCTTTTGAGCTAGGCCTGGAGTGCAAAAGCCTAGTATCATTATAAATATATATATATATATATAATTTATATGTGTATGTATAGTCAAACCAATCAGTTGTCTCAATGATTGGTTTGAAGATGAAAAGCAATAATTTAAAAGAAGACATGGGACTCCTCAAGTACCCAGACGCCACCAGGCCAGGTGCTAGGATTCTCTTCAGCAGTGGGGTGTAGGTGTGCTCCTCAGACCCTCCCAGCCCAGATGCCACCGGATGCCAGCAGGAGTACCCAGCAGGGCTCAGCTTTGAGAAGCTGAGACTCACATCTCAGTGGAGTGAAATTATTTAATGTACAAAGGATTTTTCTCATCAGGAAAGATTCCCCTACAGGTTCCTTTAAATAGTGACTCCTCTAGGCAGGCGAGAGTTTTACAGATCATTAACTACTTGACGGAAAGCCTGCAGGGCAGAGAAACTTAAAACTGAAGTGTTGGGAGCCCCTGCCAATTACAGATCAATCCTGAATGAAGATAAAGTATCACTGGAACTAGAAGTCAGTGGGAAAATGCAATCTACTTCCGGGAAAAAAAACCTGATTTACATGCATCTTTTGTGCAACAACCGATTGTTTAACTGGTGTTCCACCTGTCTACCCATTACATTCATCTCCACATCTCCATTTCCAAGCCCCAATCTTGGGGTTCTCTCTGTGAACGGCATCTGCACAGGAACCCTAGGAAAGGGCATCATTGAGAAAGTGGTCTGTGGCCAAGCAGACTTAGGAAACTGATGCAGAGATACTGCCTGTAATGGATGAACTCCACCAGAACAATTTGCAGATAAAAATAATAGAAGTTAAAGTGTACTTTACATGATAAAAGAAAGATGAAAGAGGACGAGAGTCTGTTACATCTGAGATGGTTACACAAGTCCTGCTTTGTGAAGTAGGCTCCGTTGAAAAGATTGATGCAATGGGGAGTGACCTTGGCTTGGAGCAGGAGCTGGTGATGTATGTATGAGCCTCTCTCTGCTAAATGGACCCAGATTTGTAGCACTAATATACATGGGGGCCCAGAACCAAACTCAGTGCAGCAATAAATCAACAGCCACTTTGGGTGTCATTTCTGGTTTATATTCCACTATTGTTCTATCACTTTAATTCATGTCACTATCATCTTTTCATCTGGAACAGTTTTATATAATTTTCCAGTGGAGTTACCTGACAAATCCTATCAAATTAACAAGGTACATTAACAATATTGACTGACTACAGCTTTGAGAGCTGCAGGGCCATAGAACAAATTTTACCCTGTTTCTCTCTGGTGGTGATTTTTTTTTTCTTATTCTCTTTCTGGAATGTGGGCTGGGGTATATTCCACATAAGAGAGATGCACATTTATTTTACTGTGTGCATTTTGACTTTTATAAATATCAAAATAAAAAGCAGAATAAGGAGAGTGTATATTCGCATGCATACACACACACACACACATCATTACCAATGACCATAGCTTAAGTTCCTTTCTTCTTTCAGGGAACTATAGAAATGTCCAAATACTTAACAATTAATGACCAGATTGGAAGCAAGAGTATAACTGGGTAGTCGTAATCTGTTTTAAGTGAAAAGTAATAAAACTGGTCTGCTGATAGATTCTTACCCTCCTGAAGTCATCTAGATCTGAGCATCTGAGTCAACTGGACTTAGGACATTATGCCTAATTGAAATTTGACACTCGTGCCACAAGTGTAATGACAAACTCCAGCATCCAATTAACAAAACAATACCGGTTGTTAGTCTTGTCGCAGTCACGTTGCCTTGTAGTAGCCAGAGCTAGACAGCCAGCACTGTGTGGTCTTCTCCAAAAATACTGCCCTCATCCATCCATGTACACTTTCTGCCATTGTCTTAACTGGGATTCAGAATTTAGTCATAAAATTGAAATGAATGACAATGATAACAGGCCTTATCACTAGGGTTATGTTTGTATTTTTCATTTTAAATCTGCTGTCAGACTGTAGTTGTTGTGTGTGGCCATATTTTGGTGTTAAGGGGTAAGGATGTTAATTGAGCTATCTCTTTTATATGCTTCTTTTGGCTTATTAATTTCTCTGCATTTGGCTCAAAAAAAAAAATGAGTAAGTGTGACCTATAGGCTAAAACATGCCAGGCTTGATTGTCTTTTCTATTTCAGTATGAGTTGGTTATCTTAATTATTTCTTATATCTTGACTTCATTTTGCTTTCTTTTTTCCTCTCTTCATTTTGACCCTGACCTTTTAAACCATGGCCTAAAAATTAATTAATTTTAAAGCTCCCTATGGGGCTCACTCCAGAGGGTTTTTGTCTCACTTGATGAACAGATTCCTCAGTTTTCAGTGAAAGAGGAAAAAGTGTATCAGCAGAGCATGTGCTTCTCTGAAATACCAGGAGAGCAAGCACTGTGCATGTCCACACAGGTCCTGGATGCCTCCCTTCCTGGGGCTCCTCACATCCAGTCACTGGATGGCAAGATTTGTGTATTAAAGCCCTGGAAAGCCCCACAGTATAGCCCCTGCTTTCACTATATTTGATGTCGGTATAATTTGTAGAGGAGATGGGGAAAAACAAGTCGTTTAAGGATACAGGTGGACCCGTTGCAACAATGAGAAGTACAAGTTGTCATGTCAAAAACAAACTTTACAACTTTGGTGAAGGGGGCGGGGGGGCGGGGGGAGGGGAGGCAAGGAAGGGATGTGAAGGGTAAACAAAGGAGGAGGCTGCAATGATTGATAAGAAATGTACTCATTATCTTGCCCATGTAATTGTAACCCCTCTGTACAGTATGTTCACAAAAAATAAAAATAAAAAATAAAAAAATAAATGCAAAAAAAAATTTCAAAATCTAATAAATAAATAAATAAAGCCCTGGAAAGGAAACCTGAAGTTCTCATATTAACATTGCAGCTTTTTGCTTATGAACTCTTTTGTTGCATGAAGCTCATAGCCAGTGCTGAGTCTCCTCAGCAGAAAGGCAGTGACCTCCACCACTTGAAAGCAAGCTACAAGACTTGAACTTCAAATGTTTTGTGTAAAAGACCCTTTGATCCCTCTGTGACTTCCCTTAAATATAGCTGGGACAATGTTTTAGTTTCACAGATGAGAAGTGCCCTCTCCCCCTTTTTAGTGTATAAGATTTTTCCAGGTCAGAAACTTTTCATTAGTAGCTTAGGCATAAATGGTGTTACTCTATCTACCCCAGATTTATTTTTTAATTCATGAAGCCAGGTGCCAGTGGCTCCCACCTTTATTCCTAACTGCTGAGAAGCTGAGATCTGAAGATCACTGTTCTTTTGGTTCCATGCCAGCCCAAATAGGGGTTAACTAGCAAAAAGCTGGGAGTAGAGGTGTGGCCCAAGTGGTAGAGTGTGTAAGCCTTGAGCACAAACGCTCAAGGACAACCCCTAGGCCCTGAGTTGAAGTGCTAGGACCAGAACAAATAATAACATAAATTTTTAAATAATAATCATGATTTTGTAAATGGTTCTATACTATATTTTATTTTGATATAAAAATAATGTAGTTAACAATTTGTAAGTGAATTCTATATTGTATCTGTTACATCTAAAAAGATGTGTGTAATTATGAGTTCTTACACACACACACACACACACACACACACACACACACACACACACACAGAGGAAACCAGACTGCAACTTCTATGTGCCCTTTAGAGTCTCTGTCTATCATAAGAAGCCTCTGGCTTTTCTAAAGCCCCCAGTAAGAGCAAATGTGCATCCAATTCAGGACTTATAAAGCAGGGCAAATAATCACACTGAAGTCACTTACACTTTCCACTTCTCATAGCTTCTTTTCTTTTGTCCTTCCCTTGGCCTTACAGGTATCTCTGGAGACAAAGTAGAGATAGATCCTGTTACGAATCAGAAAGCCAGCACTAAGTTTTGGATTAAGCAGAAACCCATCTCAATCGATTCTGACCTGCTCTGTGCCTGTGACCTTGCTGAAGAAAAAAGCCCCAGTGAGTAGTCCCTTTTATTTATGTCTCCTTTCTCTCTCCTCCTCTCTTCCCCTCTGTATGCTGGGTGCCAGGAGAATATATTACCACCGTGTCCTTTTTTCCTTGGGTCTGTTTAATTCATTACCAGAAATTTCTTTTAATCAAACGGGATTGTGTTAGTGCCCAGAGCCTTACGTGAGCCCCCGTTCTATTAGGCGTTGGTGGCAGCAGTGAACCTCTCAGCTATGCCCTGGAAACTTGAACCCATAAAAACCCTCATTTCACATTGTGTTCCTGTTCTCTTCCCATCTGGGGAACTTAACCAGTCAGAACTGGACCTGCTTTCTTTCCAGCCAGATCGGGGAAAGCTAGGGGAATTCCTGTGGCCGCTGAAGCTTAGATTTAGATATCCATCCTGTCCAAAGTGTCAGTGTCCCCAGATTGTTGGCAGTCCATGACCTCCCAGCTCATAACTATACTCCTTCCTGGTCCTACACAAGAGGCTCCTGCATTGGCATTCCTCTGCTTAAATTATCAAAGTACATGCTGTTTCGGCATGCAGTTGGTAGTTAAGTAATTGAGTTTAGTGTTTAGATGGATCACTTAATCATCTTTACAAGTCTAGTCCTATCAAGAAGTCAAAAGAATATAGATGGGCTGGGAATGTGGCTTAGTGGTAGAGTGCTTGCCTAGCATGCAGGAAGCCCTGGGTTCAATTCTCAGTACCACACAAACAGAAAAGGCCGGAAGTAGCACTGTGGATCAAGTGGTAAAGTGCTAGCCTTGAGCAAGAGAAGCTCAAGGACAGTGCCCAGGACCAAGTTCAAGCCTCAGGACTTGCCAAAAAAAAAAAAAAAAGACATAGATCTCACTGTAGTCCCCCATGGAAGAAAAAAAATGTGAGACTGGGAAGGTGGCTCAGTGATAGAGCGCATGCCTTGCAGGCCAGAGGCCCTGGGTTTGATTCCTCAGCACCACATAAGCAAAAAGAAAAAAGCCGGAGGTGGCGCTGTGGCTCAAGTGGTAGAGTGCTAGCCTTGAGCTGAAGAGCTGAGGGACAGCGCCCAGGCCCAGAGTTCAGGCCCCATGACCGGACCCTCTCCCCCCCCCCAAAAAAAAAAAAAAAAAAAGAACATGGGGCTGGGAAGGTGGCTCAGTGGTAGAGCGCTTGCCTTGCATGCCTGAGGCCCTGGGTTCAACTCCCCAGCACCACATAAGCAAAAAGAAAAAAAAGCCGGAAGTGGTGCTGCGGCTCAAGTGGTAGAGCACTAGCCTTGAGCTGAAAAGCTGAAGGACAGTGCCCAGGCCCAGAGTTCAGGCCCCCACAACCGAACCCAAAAAAAAAAAAAAAGAAAAAAAATGTGATGTTAAATGTTCATTACTTGCTTAGAGAAGGCTAGAGGATATTGGTGCTCAAACTGTGACACATCTCAGCATTACTGTGGAGCCACCCAGCACCTACCCCAGGAAATTCTGGTTCTGTACCTTGAGGTACATTCTGAGCATCTAACTTTTGTTAATCTCCTATGTTCCAGTGTCCACAGACTTAGAGAAAAAATATAAGAAATTATATACTCAAAAGGAATAATAAAAAATGTTAAGGCCAGCATCTTTAGTCATACAACTAAAAATGGGCCTGAAGAGCCATTAGGAGGCTCACAGACTGAGCATATCCACATGCCTCAGACACAGGAGGTATTGAATTTCTTTGTCAAATCCAGATGTGCTAGGCTCTATCTTCTCTGTTCAGCTCAGCTACCAGCTTGGCATGAGAAAAGAATTTGAAAGAATTTATTGGAGGGGCTAGAAAGGTGGCTCAGTGGTAGAGTGCTTGCCTTGCATGCATGAGGTCCTGGGTTTGATTCCTCAGCACCACATAAGCAGAAAAATCCAGAAGTGGTACTGTGGCTCAAGTGGTAGAGTGCTAGCCTTGAGCTGAAGAGCTGAGGGACAGCACCCAGACCCAGAGTTCAGACCCCACAACCGACCAAAAAAAAAAAAAGAAGAAGAATTTATTGGAATATGGGGAAGGAAAGATGGAAGAGAGGGAGGGAAAGAAGGAAGGAAGGGAGGGAAAGAAGGAAGGAAGGAAGATAGATAGATGGCTATCCCCATTCCTTCCTGTTCAGCTATCCCTGTTGCCCCTTGAGGCTTTTACAGTGTAAAATGGCAGCATCCAAGGCTGCTGGACTCCCTGTACTTTGGGAAACGTCTTAACCCACCCCCTCCAGTTCGGTAGCCAGGAACAATGTCATTGTTCTTGCATCTTTCCAAGAACTGAAGATGCTTTGAAGAGGGACATTCTGTAACTTCTCCATTTCTCTGAGAAATGCAAGGCCAGTGCCTATGTGCTGCATAGAAGGATGAGCTGAAGTGGCAAGGTTAGGGAAAAAAACTGGAAGCAGGATTTAGATTTCCCTCACACTTCCACAGCCACTTGCTGTGCCCAGGAAGGCTTTGCTTTGGGCAGTGGGGTTACAGATGTGACATATCAGATAGTAGGGAAGGAAGGAAAGATTCACAGCCACTAAACTCCCATTCACCTCATGGGATATGTCAAGAAGCGGTTACTACCCATCGGCCTTCATGGGCTCGGTTCCCAATGTTGAGGACACAGAATAGATACTGGCTGCCATTTCTGCACTGACAATCTCACAAGAGGTTTTTGTGGCACTTTCCAGTATATTGGACAGTTCAGTGTAAAAACTGCACAGTGGGTTTCTCAAAGGTTTCCTTGGCTCTCACTGTGTCCAGAGATTTAAAAATCATGACAGTTCCCTGAATAACTGGCTCACCTCCTGCACATACTTCCCAAGTCCTCATTCCCTGTAGCAGTGCCTCAGACTGCAGTCTCTCAGCTGAGAGATTCTTAAGAGGCCCTCCGGCATGTATCTTTGTGTGTGTACACGTCTGTGTCAGGCAGGATTGAGCATAAGGCCTTCCCTTCCACCAAAGGGGTCTCTGCATTTAAGAAGTTCTTAGATGAGGGCTGGGAAGGTGGCTCAGTGGCAGAGCGCTTGCCTTGTATGCTCGAGGCCCTGGGTTCGATTCCTCAGCACCACATAAGCAAAAAGAAAAAAGCCGGAAGTGGCGCTGTGGCTCAAGTGGCTAGCGCCTTGAGCTGAAGAGCTGAGGGACAGCCCCCAGACCCAGAGTTCAGGCCCCACGACCGGACCCAAAAAAAAAAAAACAAAAGTTCATAGGTGAAAGGATTTTTTACTGCTTTATTTTTAAAAATAAACAAAGACTTGGAAATTGTAGACATAAAATAAAATTTAAGACTCCTCAGCCTAGCTTTTGCCGACATGGCAAACCACTGACCACTCAGGCCTCATGTCCCAGAGTTTCTCCTCCCGAATTTGGGGGGTGGTCGCTGTGAACCTCATGTCCTATTCCTTCTCCTATTCCTACTGCCTGGAAAAAACCTTCTACACTGACCCTCCTCTGGTTTACACACCTTCTACCTCTCTTATTCAACACATACATTTCTCTAGAGCCAGCTCCAGGGCCAGTCCTCTCTGCTAACTTCGCCCTAGACTTCGGTACAGACCCCTATATAGCACACTGGCCGTGCTTATCTGTGTGAGGTCAGCTGGGGGCTAATGCACCCAGGCCCCCATCCATAGCCCCCGCAGAGTTGTGAATGTTTGCTGAGCTTAATAAGGTCAGAATTTAGACACTAAAACTTATTCCACATAATTTATGTTGCAGAGTGCCCAAATAAGGCTGTATTAAATGAATCAGATTGATGCGATGTGGTTTTTTATGATTTCCAGTATCTTTACCAAATTAATTCAGTGACTTACTCTAAAAAGTTCATCCTCAGACCACAGAATTAATCTATGGGGCTGTTTCTTTTTCTTTCCTCCTTTTTTTTTTTTTTTTTTAAGGATTAATGGTAACCCTTTTTATCTTTTGTGTCTGTTGAACCTTAGAAAAAAGTTATTTTAACAGCACTAAAGAAATGAAAGTCACTATATTTCATAAGTTTAGCCTGTGATTTTTATCAGCATAGTGATGTATGTTTTGAGCTGAGTTTACATCAAAAATTATTCTTGGGCCTTCTTGAATGAATTATGGCAAAGAGAGTCTAGAAGTAGATAAGGTTTTTGATTTCTGCAATATATTTCCTTTTTCATGTTTTTATCTTTCATAACACAAATGTCTTGCTGAAGACTGGAATGTGTGACCAACTAGAATAATTTAGTTGTGAAAACAGAACAGACGTGTTATTACTCCGCCTTCTTTACAAAAAGGCATTAAGAGTTGGGAGGATAATGAAGTTGTCCCCCGTCTTATTTGAGACATGTTTGTCAGAATTTTGAACGTGAAAGAAGTGGTTTTTAAACCCTTCGAATATGGCCAGTTTGCAGTGTTTATTGAGAAAGCCGCTGTCAAGTCATTAATTTGGTCGTCATAAAGAACACAACTCAGTTTAATTGATGCTGTATCCCAGAAGTGTGTGAATAGCTGACTTGGCAAAGGGACTGAGCATTAGAGCGCCTGCAGTGAAACACATAATTACATAGACTGTGGAGTCCGAGAGGCCCTTCAGTGGCTCTCTTCCCTTTCCCCTCTGCTTCTCCCTCTCAGGTTAGGTTCTCCGAAGGAAGATTTATCACTCTGTCCCTTTGAGTGTTTAAGGACCTGGAACTTAATGACTAAATAGATACATGCCTAGGGAAAAAAAAATGTACATATAAATACAGACTCCTAAAAAGACTCAAGAATGTCTATGTATCACAAGCCCTGTGAAATTAAGAATAATTCCTGCCTTTCTAGATTTAAAGGGGGGGAAAGCATGCTGCCATTATTATTCAAATCAGTGATTTCTCAGTCTGGCTTGCCACTCCCCATGATATGGATGCCACAGACCTCTTAAAAGATGAATTAATTTTAATTCTTCTTAGCTGATCAAGGATGTGTATAGCACACAGAGAAGAGAGTATTTCTATATCAGAAACTGCCGTGGTTACATTGTTTCAGAGCAATCATTTCCACCTCATACAGGTATGGAAATA